ACCCCCCTGGTCGTCCACACTGGGTCCCGAGAAACACCTCGACCAACGCGACCGGTGTGAATGAACTTTGTTGACCCCGACAGCCGACGGTCCCCGACACACGCGCTACTCACACGTACGAGGTCATGTCACGTGAAGCGAAAGAACGTTTGAAAGTTTCAAGGTCTTGATGATGGGCCCGACTAACCAGAACTCAGACAAAGCTTGCTTTTAAAGCGACAGCAGAACAACAAATAGATTATTCTTAGGCCCATGTCATAATTGTTACAGTACTCAGAACAGGACACCATCGGAGAATTCTCGGTTATGAAAGTATTAAAAGCGAAAGTAGATCTTGAGCGTATCCAAGTCGGAATTCAAAATTGATACTGCGTTGGTTTTAGTTGAAATAACGTGCGTGAGTCATCTACTAGAATCGGCATAGATGCTTTAGAAAGTAGCGTTCCAAATTCCTGCCCATAAAAAGTCCAATCGGTGCTTCCAAGAAAAAGAGATTGCAGAACTTTTTGTATTTTTTCTAAGAATAGGACGCAACAGATGCAACGACAAAAAATCAGGATACCGGCGACCGAATTTGGGAAAATCGGGATGCTTGAGATTTGGGGCAAAAAATCGGGATATCCCGATTAAATCGGGATGAGTGGCAGGTCTGCACACACTACTTGAGCATGAGACAGGGGATAAAGTAAAAAATTACCTTTTGCACTTTTATTTCTTACCGTTTGTTGGTGAAAGTGTTGAGCCTTGTGCAACACATTCTCAAGCTGAGATGCCAACCTTTGGATATTGAAAAAAAAAAGGATAAAGCTTATTCTCAACCTCAGGCTCCCAAGTAGTGTGTAAAAGTATTTTTCTTTAAAGGGCTTGTAATTTTATAATGATCAGGTGAACTTGACAGCATTTTATGGAATTAGACACTTACCTCTTTTTCTTCCTCCGGGTCTTGCCATGAGATTTCAACACTGATTTGCCACGTCTGTCATAGAAACATGAAACAAAAGTTTTATTTTAGTGGTATTCTAAGAACAATCTCGCCTTGGGGGGATGGGGTGGGGGTTGAAGGCTATCTCGCTTATTAGGGGATCAAATGTTACCAAATTTCACACATATAACAATCAAATTTGAGAAAAAAAAGTTGTTTCCATTGATACAGCGGCTGTATTGGATTTTGTAGACATGTCTTACTTAATTAATACTGCACTTATTTTTCTTGAAAATAAATTATCTTTTTTTTTGCCCGCATCTTGGCAAACAATGGATCTACAAATCTGTATGATGAATTTTTCCTACACGTACTAGAAAATGTTTAACTCCCTGCAGTTTTGCCCATTTTGGCTTTTTTCATTTATGTTTCAGGGGTCCTCCATACCCTCAAGCCTCATGCAATAATCAGTTAACTCCAGATAGGCATCTATACATATAAAATTTGTGAAAGTTCGTCCCTTTGGCTGCCTAAAACTTCCCAACCACTGAACTTTCGAATTTGACCAAATTAACGGTGGTACAGAATCATTTAAAGGGTGCACAGTAATAACATGGAGTCTGAAGTCACTGTAGTTTAATTTTCAGTTTTTCATTAGTTTCGTTTAGATCTTATCTTGGGAAAGTTTGTTAACTTAAACGCCATTCTAAACAGGTGAGAGTTCCGTTCTCATACAGTGCATACTGGTTCCACAATGACTTAACGGTCGATTCTTTTGAGTCCTTTCATCGAACGGGGTACCCAGATTGTATTATATATCAATGGAAAGGGAATTAGATGGTCTTTCAGACCTAGCCAATAGATTTCATATTTGTCGAGCTTTCTTGAGGTGTGACATATTTTTCGTCTACTAAAAATAAATGCAGAAACAGACATCGGACTGCCAAAACAATCACAAAGGAGAAAAAAAATACAATTTAGAATCTACATTAAGTTGATGAGAAAGTACATTCAATTTTGCATGTAATGTGTGTAAAAGACACTTTATTCTGTTGAAAAATAAAGAAATTACGGCCGCTTTTGTGATTTCTACAAATTCTCAGTCATTGCCCTTGAAACTGGAGTTTTCAGAGCGAGAACTTTTTATAATCCAACCATCAATTTTAAGACCTATTTTATATTTTTTTGTCTATTTAGTCGTTTTTGTTTGATAGAAATACCTTACAAAATCTTTCTTTATAAAAGTAAATGTATTTTATGGGCGAAATACCACATCAACAGCCATTATACGATATAGTACTGCATGAACTGCTGGGAGTTAATGAATTTTTCTCCTGAAGTAGTAGTAGTATTCACGTTTGCAAAAAATCCGTGAAAATCCACTCCAAACACCACCAACAAAAAACTATTCCATATATCAAAAATTCGTCACACAGACTTCTAGTATTACATCTTTTCTTCATTCTGTGAAAATTTCATACACATTAGATGAAAAATGGTGGAGTATATAGAAAAACCACGTTTCAAGAAAACGGGCGATAAAGAAAAATAAAAGATTGACTTTACGAGGAAATGGTACTGACAAACAAGCCCGGTATGGGAAGAAATAAGGTTAGGGGGATCTCAAGCGATGAAATAGTTGTAAGAGAGGAATAAAAAGCTAAAAATGCCTACAACTTAAAATCCATTGTTTTAAGCTGAAACGGGACTTTTGGGATGCCCCCCCCCCCCTTAATCAAGAGCATTAGATAACTCAGCACAAACTAGAAAAATGGGAAAGAGGGAGTGAACATGCCCAAAGGGCTTAACTGTGTTAAAATTCTTGTGGTGCACTGCACAGAATGCTGTCTTTTTCCAGCTGAAAAACAATTTGAGCTATAATTTAGCCTACGAAATTACCTAGAGGCACTTCTCCTTCGTCTAGAGTTGTATTCATCATCATCAGAAGAAGAGGAACGGGAACGTCTTCTTTTCCTGTCCAAATTTAGTGAAGGAAGTTAAAGTACCATAAACATGGGAAAGAGGGTTGGGTATGAACATGTCCAAAAAAGGGCTTCAGGGAACAGGCAACCGAAATATACAGTTACAAGTATAATACAGATAGCTCGAATTCGTCGGGACAGTCTCGGTAGTTCGAGGGATCCGTGATTCGAGGGATACATGAACAGTATTTTCATTATGGCATTGGCTTTGTCAGAGAATCAAGGGAAGCAACAAAGATTGGGGTGGAACACAGATTATTCTTTTTTCGGCCATTGTCCAAGATCAGTTTATTGACTTGAATTTGAAATTTGAGAGGATTTGAAATTGACAGATTGAGAATGAGAAAAATGATGAGCAACGCTTTCCAGTTCGATCGGTAATGAGGAGCCTACTTTTACCAAGACAGTTTCACTCACTGGAGACTGGGTCTTTTTCTGGTCTACATGCACTGGAGACTGGCATTTTTGGGGTATTTCAATATTTCAAACACTCTTCCCAAAGACATACAACCACCATTTTTACACACGTAACAGATCTAAACAAGCCCAATAGGACACAAAAAACCCCAGAAAGACAGTATCCTCTAAAGTTTTTTAGAAATGATTTTTTGAAAATGTGGTAACATTTGTCAAATTTTTTGACGCAATGTCTTGTATAAAAAAAACAACCAACAAAGCACCCAAAAAAATTCAACCTTGTGTGTGTTTTTTTGTTGTGTTTTGCGTTTCAAAATGAATAAAAAGTGCAAACTCATGAACAGGCAGGTAATCAATGTGATAATCCTATGTATTAGCTGTGTAATCCACTTCAGTATGAAAAAAAAAAAACGGCTTCAGATAAAGCGGAATTTTGCATTTGAAAGCCTAATCTAGATCTAGAACATTCTCTATCAGAATCAGCGCTTTGATGCTCATTTACATTGAAATCAGGATCCCCATGGTCTGAAATATCATAATCAGAATTTTTTTAACTGTTAAAGTCGTCAAACACTACAAAAATGTTTGCTTTTCGTGCTGCCAAGTGAGTGGTTGGCGGGTGCTCTGGTGTGGTTTGCTCCTTCTTTCCTTTCAAATATCTCTCGTCCCGATCTCTCCTT